TAGTAAGAAGAACAGAATTGAATAACATGGTGAAATGGACTAGGCTAATAACAAGCGTTTCTTATACACTACGCACTTTCTCCCAATTTATTGGCCAATGAAGTCAGCCAGCTATTAGAGCTCATCTTCTTGGCCGTCATCGACTTTACACTTGGATATTTTTCTCACAAAAAATTGTGACTGGCAGAAAAATTCATACGACTTCTAGGTCACTTCTTGAAAGTATATATTTTGATTCTCATTTAGAACACATTAAAAAGTCGGTATTTGACCAAATTTTAATTAGGTAATTTCCAAAGATCCATCACCACCCACCTATAAAATCCCCACTGTACCAATTACTGTTCTTCAGTAAAATACAATACAATACAATACACGTTCTTCAAAAATATTCTTTATCGAGAGCTGCTGATTTAATTTTGTCATTTTGCCTTCAAAGTGTTTTCTTGTTTCCACTTGTGAGGAAAAACATTGATTTGTCGAGCATCTCAAGTGACCAAATGTTCTTTGAAACCGCACTCATTTCATCAGTTTAGAATCATTATTCAAACCGCTTGTATAATTTGTTAATTACAGCAATACTGTCCTTTTTCATATGCGGTCTTTTGAGCCGCGGTCGGCGCTTTAATCAACAGTATAATGAAAAGTTGGCGCCTGTGGGTCGCTTTCGAGACACGCACAGCTAAACAAAAAGAATTAAAATCATTCCGCAGTCAGTGGTCGTCATTACGGAAGGACCCTGCTTTAGGCAAAATCAGATCTTTTTTTACTTTGTTTGGCTGCCAACATCCTTGTTGATATCCTGCAATCATCAACATAATGCTTCATTTGGTGAAAAGATCCGGTTGGACCAACAGCACGTGAGTGAGTAACTCAGAGAAAAACCCTCCACTTAGGATTCATTTCGATCTTTTGCATCAATGACTAATTATTTTGTAATTAATTTATAAATCAAGACATTGTGGCCAACAATCATGTAACAATAACATTGTTTAGATTCCTGATTCGACCTTTGTGTTCCACGAAATTTTATAGTCGATTTCCTTCTAATCAGATTGTTTTTTCATTCAAAGCTTTGCAAATTTACTCGCATTTTCATTCATCTGCCAACATACATGAGGGAAAAGCTGAAGGTTTTGATGACCGGAATATTTTTCCAGTTCTTCATAGTCAACGATTCTCAAATTTTACTTATATTTATTTTAAAAAGAAAAGTGACAAATGTAATAATATTTATGCTTGTAAATCCGCAGTCTTCAGTACCTAATTCGCAAACAGTGATCGATTTTCATCAAGAGAATCTTTTCTTTTTAAAATTGGATCACCAATGCGACAGAAAATATAAAAAACATGGAAATTATAATGCATAAAGTTATTATGAGATAAAATCAATACTCCAAATATTGAAAAATGACTGTATTCAGTTTAAAAAATTAGCTTCGCGCCGTCTAATGCGAAAATGCTGGTTTTCTAGAAATTGACCAAAGCTATTGGTTTTTCCACTCAAAAAATTCTGAGGATCAAGATAAAATATTTATAACTTGTTGAATAGAAAATCCCATTTTCCTTTGTACATCAGTTCATAGCATTTGAGACCAGCAGCCAGTCAATGAAAGATATTCAAATTCTTCATCTACTTCCAAGTTGAATTAAGCGACAAAAAATGTCAAACTCACCCACTCAAAAGCCCCCAATTTTCCAAACTAATCCATTCACAAACTGGCCAAAAATGCCGTCCATTGGGTTCTACAATTTACTCTCACTCTACAACCGGGAACATGATGTCGGAATTATTCAGGAAGGTTTGTTATCCGACAGGACAATGTCGGTTTAAGCCGATTACAGCGTTGTTGATGGCCTAGTTGAGAGCGGAACACGGATTTTCGGAGATAAGCTTTTGATCCGATGTGACAAATCATGTACCTGTGCTACCGAAGATTTAAATATTTTGACTGGGCTTATAAATCCACGCTGCCATCACCAGCTTGCACATCGTAAATTATCCAATCGAGTTCACGTTTTTAGACCGACGCTACACTAGTGGAAACAACAAGAATTTAAATAAAAATTCGAACATTAAACACATTAAACAAGTTTTTCCCGATTCAGTCTTAGACCTGGGGGGAAATAATTAAGAGTCCAGAACAGTATCGTGTTCTAAACAATGCAATAAATTATAGCGATTCGAATATCCAAGTTAGATTTAGTAGGCTCTAGGCCTTTATCGCTACAATATCCCGGCCTCAGAATCGACTACTGTTACCAATTGAAGCTCGGTCAGCAGAAGTGTAATATTGCGGATAGTTTGCGGCCAGTGTCCCGTAACTCTGCATTAATTCGATACGATAATTAGATTGGACGTTTATTAGCGTGCTTCAGTTGCAGAGTAACGAGTAATGAGTAGTTTTAGGGGATGTTGGCATTAAAAAACCCTCAATATGTTTTTTTTACAAACTTCTTGTGTCTGTTTCTCTGGTCTACTTCAGATTTTAGCATAGGTAACCATGTATGACTTAAATTAAATGAACATGAAGCAACACAATTATTTTGATTTAGTAAA